TTATGGCATTTGGCAGACGCCCTTATCCAGAGCGACTTACAATTATCTCATTTATACACCTGAGCAGTTGAGGTTTAAGGGCCTTGCTCAGGGGCCCAGCAGTGGCAGCTTGGCAGTGCTGGGATTTGAACTCTCGAGCTTCCAATCAGGAGTCCAACGTCTTAACCACTGAGCTACCACTTCCCTTCATAACATTATGACCACCTGCCTAATATTGTGTTGGTCCCCCTTTTGCTGCCAAAACAGCTCTGACCCGTCGAGGCATGGACTCCACTAGATCCATGAAGGTGTGCTGTGGTATCTGGTACAAAAACGTTAACAGCAGATCTTTTAAGTCCTGTAAGTTGCGAGGTGGGGCCTCCATGGATCGGACTTGATGGCCAGCACACCCCACAGATGTTTGATTGGATTGAGATCTGGGGAACTTGGAGGCCAAGTCAACACCTTGAACTCTTTGTCATGTTCCTCGAACCATTCCTGAAAAATTTTTACAGTGTGGCAGGCGCATTATCCTGCCGAAAGAGGTCACTTCCATTAGGGAATACCGTTGCCATGAAGGGGTGTACTTTGTCTGCAACAATGTTTAGGTAGGTGGTACGTGTCAAAATAGCATCCACATGAATGCCAGGACCCAAAGTTTCCCAGCAGAACATTGCCCAGAGCATCACACGCCAGCTTGCGTTCTTCCCATAGTGCATGCTGGTGCCATCTCTTCCCCAGGTAAACGATGCACACGCACCCAGCCGTCCACATGATGTAAAAGAAAATGTGATTTATCGGACCAGGCCACCTTCTTCCATTGCTCCGTGGTCCAGTTCTGATGCTCACCTGTCCATTGTAGGCACTTTTGGCAGTGGACAGAGGTCAGCATGGGCCCTCTGACAGGTCTGTGGCTACACAGCCCCATACGGAGCAAGCTGCGATGCATTGTGTGTTCTGACACCTTTCTATCATAGCCAGCTTTAACTTTTCAGCAATTTGTGCTAAAGTAGCTCTTCTGTGGGATCAGACCAGACGGACTAGCCTTCACTCCCCACGCGCATCAGTGAGCCTTGGGCGCCCATGACCCTGTCGCTAGTTCACCGGTTGTCCTTCCTTGGACCACTTTTGGTAGGTACTAACCACTGCATACCGGGAACACCCCACAAGGCCTGCCGCTTTAAAGATGCTCTGACCCAGTCATCTAGCCATCACAATTTGGCCGTTGTCAAAGTCTCTCTAATCCTTACGCTTGCCCATTTTTCCTGTTTCCAACACATCAACTTCGAGAACCGACTGGTCACTTGCTGCCTAATATATCTCAACCCTTGACAGGTGCTATTGTAACGAGATAATCGATATTATTCACTTCACCTGTCAGTGGTCATAATGTCATGGCTGATCGGTGTATGTGCAGCAATTTATGACATTTTGCGTTAATTCAGTGACACTGTAATTTTTATTACCACAAAAACAAGCTAAGTACAATAAAATATATAATTATGTTTGCCGAATATTACATGACGCTCCAGGGGTGGACAAATCATGAGCCCAGGAGCCAAAGACAAGCAGATTTCTCTTTCTCATAGTTGAGTGTGTAGGTTTAACAACCAGAAAAAAAAACTACTCCTTATCGACTTTCACAAAACAAAAGTTTTCATTTGGTATGTAGTTATGTTTAAGTCGTCTCCTCACTGTTAAACGTGTTCACAGAAAATGAATACTACGCTAGCCAAACACAAATAATATCTTTTTTACATGATCTCCTCTCATAGCTGAAACCTCAGCCAACAACTTGCTGACTTTTTTGAGGGTGCAAACACAATCTGGTACATTAGAATCTTTTTGTTAGAAGAGAATAATAATCATAAACTCATTTGTTTCACTTAGTATTAGGGATGAGACTAAATACAAATACATTATTCTGACTGAAAAGATAATGTGTTCTAAAGGGATATAAATATAGACACAAAAAGGCACACCATTTTTTTAGAAAGCTTGGCAGAAAGGTTCACAGGGCATCGAGTTGAGACCAGCATCACAACTGGGATTTCACAAATGGATGGTTTTTTTAAAAAAAAACATGCACGAGTATTTAGCTTATGGAACACAGACTACGTTCATTAACATGAAATTGTCTCTTTTGCACTTCACACTTAAAGCTACTTGCTGTTTTGCACTTCTGGTTAGATGCTAACTGCATTTCACTGGCTTTGTCCTTGCACTCTGCCCAATGACAGTAAAGTTGCATCTAATCTAATCTGATTAGGAGGCATACTATTCTGGGTTTTTTGATGGTGTTGTTTTGTTTATCGTCAGGGGTTTCCTCCAGTAGCCTGACCTGAATGCTGGAACAATAAACATGTATAGATATTGGCATTTCACTACACCCCAATCTGTATTAATGCAATTAACTACATAACTTGCTGGTTATACATTATTACATTACATTAGATACCATGTTTCCAACCAAAAATGGGAGTGGGCTAGCACAGTGGAGCTTTTAATTGCCTGATGGTCTATCTAATGAAATATGGTATGTTCAACCCCTACTCCCGCTAAAAAGGGTTTGGTGAATGAGATGGTGAGCGAAATTGAGCTAAAACGTCCAAAAACCAAATGACCAAACTGATAAACTGTGCATGTGTTTTCATGATGAGTTGATGGTTTTCACATGAGCTAAGTTGCCAGAAGAGATGCTACAATTTACACACTTTCCTTATGTTAATTTAGGCTAACTGTTTACAAAGGTCTCATTAACCTGACAGTGTAGTTAGATGACCAGCTTGTAATCTGTTTATACTACCAATATTCCAAAGAGTGAGGGATTACAAAAAAGGACATATGTTTTTAATAGGAGCTGATGATAACAAAATCAGAGACAAGTCGACTCACTACACTCAAAGCTGCAGTTGAGACTGCACTGAATTGGACCGTTATTACAGAAAAAAAAAACCTCATAGATCCACGTATTTAAATTAAGGGCAGAACTTCCACTTGAGTGACATATGTAAGTTCAACAAAATGTAAATAGGTTAATAATGGCAGGTTTATGTTACACTTGTATGTACATTTATAAACATAATGTATTGTAGTAACATAATAAAAGCTACATAAGTCCATAATCACTTTTTAGAGTGCACTATCTGTGTGTATGGAGTCTGTAGGTAAGTGATGTATATCATTTAATTCTGCATTAGATAAATTATGCATTAGCAGAGCATTTAATTATGAAATGGTGGACCACACGTTCAAGTTCCTTTACATGGTCAAAAAACAGGACAGCAAATTTGAGCTAAACAGTACTATTTATACTGTATATCACTCATAATGAGATAAAATATTGTGTCTCCAGACATACAAGACAATAGAGATTACATAAACCTGTGTACATATACCTACAAAAATTGCAAAGGTATGGCATTAACTACAAAGTAAACTCTAGCTACACTGCACTACACAGGCATATTTGCAATGCTGAGACAGAGTGTGGGTTCAGGCCCTGTTCAGTATGCACAAGTTGGACAGATATTCACCTGTTAATGTAGATTTCACTGGATGCTGGCTCTATAAAATAATTACCACTTTCAATACCACTCTGTTATGCTGTGTTTTTCTGGCATGGCTTGGGTCCACTTGTCTCTTTAGGGCAGGGGCTGTCGACTGGCGGACTGCGGTCCAGATGAGGACCCAGCAAAGTATTTCAGCTGACCAAATCAAAGAACTTGAAAAAAAACATACTGTAGCAAAGTTGATAAAAGTATGAAAAAAATGACAGTAGTTTAGCAACTCTAATTTTCTAAGCATGAACCAGCATGACATCTGTAGCAGATCCTACTATCCAATCACATGCATTTCTGTCAGTTATATAAGTGAAGGCAGCTCATCGAACCAGAGACTAGCTACAGGGCTTGAGACATTAGCTCACAAAGTGGAGGGTTATCACAAACTTACAGAGCTTTTCATTATATTACCCTCTCTGGTCTGATTACTGAATTGAAGACATAGCTTATTTTAAAAAAAAGGCAACGAAGAAAACAGACTGTTTAAAGACAAATGGACGTGTGTGTATGTGTTTATTCTTCCCGTGTCAAATTTAAAAATTTCATCTGTTCAGAGTCTGTGGTGGTTGTTGCCATTCAGTCATGTTAGTACCTTATCCTCACCTTTGTAGGCAAGGGATGTGATGTAACAGGACCTTTACAAACTACACTAGTTTAAAGGGAATAGTCACTGCAAATCAATATTTAATGACTGATTATTATCATTATCCTGTGATGAAACATTTCGATCCTGATGGGAGCATGGGAGCAGTCTCTTCCAGGATGACCATGTCCCCATGGTATATATATATATATATATATACACAGTATATACCAAGCAGGCCATGTGGATGCTATTGCTTTGCCTTGAGACTTTCAGGCTTCACACTTAGGCATTCCTCTTAAAATGTTTGTCAAAATGGGATGGGTTCATTCTACAGCGTGTCCCAAAAGTCTCCATACAGAGGGGAAATTAACACTTTTCAGCAAAATGTCTTCCAAAATTTTTATTACTTAGTGTATATTATATTCCGAGATCCCCAGATCTAAGCCCACTCGATTTTTACCTGTGGGGGCACATGAAGGCCATCGTACACCAGGAAAAGGTACAGCAAAAGATCATTTAAAGGAAGGCATTCAAAGTGCAGTTACATACATAACACCAGATGTGTTAACACGAGTTCATGATGAGTGGGAGAGACGACTCCGTGTGTGTTTACAAAGAAATGGCAATCATCCATCCATTTTCTGTACCACTTATCCTACACAGGGTCGCAGGGAGCCTGGAGCCTATCCCAGGGGACACCCTGGATGAGGTGCCAACTCACCACAGAGCACAATCACACACCCACACACACTATGGACAATTTGGAAATGCCAATCAGCCTATAACGCATGTCTTTGGACTGGGGAAGGAAACTGGAGTACCCAGAGGGAAGCCCCAAAGCACGGGGAGAACATGCAAACTCTGTGCACACGGGGCAGAGGTGGGATTCGAACCCCCAGCACCAGAGGTGTGAGGCGGCAGTAAGCCACTAAGCCACTGTGCCCCAAATGGCAATCACGTAGAAGATGTTTTGTAAACCAACATTTACATTTTGCTAAAAAGTGTTAATTTCCGCTATGTATGGAGACTTTTTGGGACACCCTGTACTGCTACTACTACTACTACTACTACTACAGCGGCACTGCTTAATAATGGCTTTTGCACCCACATTTCCAATAGTAATCCTGATTCAGCCACAGTTTTGTCTCACTGTCATTCGCCAATGTCATTACAGCAGGGCTCTGCGTCACCTCCATCCCTCACACCACACCACTCATTCCACAAGCAAATCAAATTCAGGCTTCTTCTATTCCATGCTTCATCAGAATAACTATAATAATGCTTAGAGTATTGTGTGGTTTAGTTAGAGTAGGCTATGAAGCGTCTGGAGAGCTTACCGGTCCCTGCATCAGTGAGCACTGCGCTTACCTTCACCTGGTATTTGGGCGCCATGATGGAAGTGTATCCCCCCCGTTACCGGAGCTCTAACATCCCGGTGGACGCGTACAGCATGGCCGACACGTTATATTAGTGCTATAAGAGCAAATCAAATCTACACCGGTTTTTCTTCGCTTAAGGCTGCCATACCCAGGAATGACACGGTTTCCCAGGGAGGAACCACACCTCACTCCTTACGCGTTACAGTACGCGGCCATTCAGCCACCTGTGTCAGTCTAAAGCAGGCGCTTAACAAACGAGCACAAATACACGCCAGTCGTTACCATTGCTGTGTGTTGCGGGTGTAGCAGCCCTTAACGGGTTAACAGAAAGCAGCACGTCCTTCTCCCAGCTCCGCTCCCTCGGACTGCAGGGGAATGTGGGTTAGTGGGATGCCGGCGTCGTCAGTGCGCCACTCTCAAGCCTGTTGGTTTTTTTCTTTTCTTTTCCCTGTCCTTCCCCGCCTCTGTGCGACATCCCCGCAGCGTGCCGGCATCCCGTTTCCATAGCGACCAGCATCCTCTCGCCTCCCTCCAGAGCGCATGCGCAATCTTCTCTGGCGTCTAAAACAGACTATAAAAAAACATGATGTCATTTAAAAACATGATGTTTTTAAAACCTCTACGCGTATATCCAAAAGGCTTCTGTTAGAGAACATCTAAAGCTGGGAATCCTGCTGTGAGCTTTCAAAAGAGTGTGTGTGTGTGTGTGTGTGTGTGTGTGTGTGTGCGCTGCATGGGCTACGGTATAAATATATTATGGGAATAAATGTCCATATCAGATAAAAATCATGGTCATGGCTATATGAAAGCTGAGATTATTCTTTGCAAGCTTGTTCTTTCACTTGCTTTAACTATTTATTAATAACATGAATCAAGTATTAGCCAGTCACAGTCAGCTGACTAATGAGCTTTTTAAGAACATTTGAGGAATATACACTATATGGCTAAAAGTATGTGGACACCTGACCATCACACCCATATGAGGTTCTTCTCCAAACTGTTGCCACAAAGTATAAAGCACACAGTTGTGTAGAATGTCTTTGTATGCTGTATCATTACAGTTTCCCTTCACTGGAACTAAGAGGCCCAAACCTGTTCCAGCATGACAATGCCCCTGTGCACAAAGCGAGCTCCATGAAGACATGGTGTGTGAAGGTTGGAGTGGAAGAACTCGAGTGTCCTGCACAGAGCCCTGACCTCAACCCCACTGAACACCTTTGGGATGAACTGGAACACCGAATGCACTCCAGACCTCCTCACCCAACATCAGCACCTGATCTCACTAATGCTCTTGTAGCTGAATGAACACAAATCCCCACAGCCACGCTCCAACATCTAGTGGAAAGCCTTCACAGAAGAGTGGAGCTTATTATAACAGCAAAGGAGGAACCAGCGCCATATTAATGCTCATGGTTTTGGAATGAGATGTTCAACATGCACATATGGGTGTGATGGTCAGGTATCCACATACTTTTAGCCACATAATGTATTTCTATTAAAATAGGCCTCGTGCATTTCTCAATCGTTTCTATAAATATTTATTCTTTTACACAGTAATATATTCATACAAAAATGTAGCTCCTTCTCCCTACGTGCACTCTTCATTGCTCATGTACTAACAACTAGCAATGTAAACAAAGATGCCGATAATGTTATGTCCTTCACTATTGAAGTGTCTCAGCACTGGAAAGGAGAAATCCTTTATTCCGGTGGTACAAAGGTGCTTGACAAAACAATCAGCCTTGCTTTCTGCAATGCATAGCTGATTACATCTCTTGCAAGACAATTTAAACACAAAAAATGTGTTAAAGAATTTGCAAGTGGAACATTGTGAATGGCTGCATGCAGAAGCAGAAGCATGCAGAATAGGCTGGCCATTTAATTTACTCCTGACAAGCATTTCTTTAATGTTTTTGTCCTGACTGTAGACGTGAGTGGAGGATCCTTAAAAAAAGGAAGCAGTCTCAGGTTTTTAGGTAAGATTTCAGCTACTGTTTAATAAGTATGTAAGCACCAAATGAATTTTCTGTCTTGAAAGAGGATTAATTAGAGGTCAGTGCATCCATTCTTTCTCAGGGAATTCACAGTTATAAAAATAATCATTCATTTCCCTCATTTTCTGTGGAGGAAGTCTTCATTCAAACTGCAAATGCATCAAAGTCTCATTAGGTAAGGACAAAAATGGAATTTTTGCAGTGCTTGGGATGCAAAGAGTTCAAAAGTTTATGCTAGAGCCTGGGAGTGCAATACTCCATGTATATTCCAGGGCTGGGTGAAATATGGAGAAGGAAGAAATGAGTATCTGAACTTCTTCAAGGCTGCAGGTAGCGATTCCAAAAATGTCATCAGTGTACCTAAGCAAGAGTATGGGCAAGTGTCCAGTGAACTGTTGCAAGAAATTTTGCTTAACAAATTCCAAAAGAGGTTGGGGTAGGAGGGTCCAGTTTTAGTGCCTATATGAACACCTCTTATCTGAGAGTAAATGTTAGAGTTAAAGCTGAAACAGTTAATTGTTAACACGAGTGTGATAATCTTAATGTCAGTGGGTGGGGCCTTTTTTAGTTGTGCATCCAGAAAATGTTTTAGGTCTCTTAATCCATTTTCATTACGTATGGCTATATAAAGACTTTTGATCTCCATAGAAAAAAAAAAAGTAGAGGATTGTTGTGCAGGCACTATTATTTAAATTGTTCAAAGATTTGTAGAAAATGTGAAGAGTCTGTGGCAAATGTAGGTAAAGAGTGAACAACAGTTGGAAAATGTCACCCAGAAACTGGGATAATACTTTTGTGGGACAAGAAGAAACTGAAACTACGAGATATCCAGAATTGTTTTCATTGTATATTGAAATGACTGCAGTGAGGACTATCAGGAAGATGTTCTGCAAAAATGGAATTAGTGATACACTGTTATCATTATTAGTTGCATTAGTAGAACTGTAGTTTGTATAACAAATAAACCAGAGTATATAACAGTTAATAGGATTGTGTCAGGTAGTTTTAGTGAAAGCAGATGCAAATGCTGGCAATTTATTGTGAAAAGTAGAAAAAAAAAACGGAGCAAAAACTACACAACAAATGACAAAAGCTTGATAAAGACACACAAAGCAGATTGTATATAGGGTTGTTAAGGTGTAACAGGAAACAGGTGTGAGCAATCATGGAGGGATATGACCAGGTCATGTGATGTGTTAGGGCTCATGAAAGAACTCCCCATAAAGCACAGCTACCGAAGTGCAACATACAGAGGAGGTCCTAGACGCCAGTCAAAACATCCATCCGCTGTTGAGGTCTTCAGGCCGATGAGGTCAGGAGCAATACACTTAGCAGGGAGCAAGTGGAGCAAACTTCTCAGCTAAGCAGCCAGGTGGAGCAATGCCCTCAGTGGAGCAGAAAGGCGGAGTGCAGCAAGTCGACCCAGTCGACCCAATCTGACCCACTGTGATTCTGTTCTGCACAAACTTCAGCATGCCTGCTGCATCCACGGTTCTGTCAAAACAAAAACCATCAACATGAACTGTGAACATGCAGCAAGAACCATAAAAACTATAGGTGATAACTGCATACACATGACAACAAACAGCAAAAGCTCAACAAAGCCACACAGAAACTAGAATTCGTATAGGGGAGTTAATAAAGTGTAACAGGAAACAGGTATGATGGAGGCATGTGACCAGGTCATGTGATGTGCTGGGGCTGATGGGTAATGTAGTCTTGCACAAAAACTAATAAGTAAAGAATAACAGTCCAGATACAAAAATAATCCAATGTCTGGGTAGATTATTTTTGAATCGGATTATTTTCATATAACAGCACACTCTGGAGTGTGTGATTCAGAACGATTACAATGTTTCCTTTATTAATGAAGGGCATGTCATGCATTTTAATGGTTCATAGAAGATTTAATGTGGAATATCCTCAAGACAAGTTAGTTCCTGTTGTCACTTACGTTAAAGCTGTAGTAAACAGTCATTCCATAACCAGCATCTCTCTCCCTCTCTCCCTCTCTCTCTCTCTCTCTCTCTCTCTCTCAAAAAAAAATACCAAAAACAAGCTTGTCATTTTACTTGATAAACTGGAAAGCGTAAACTCTTCTGTCCTGTCACCGTGTCGGTACAAAGCATTGACACCCAGGACTCCTTCCATAAATGTTAAATAAATGAGCTACTGTCCAAGTCGTGCTGTTAAATAAAAATTAATGCGTACCTTCTGACCAATCAGATTTGAGAACTCAACCATGCTGTGGTATAAAAAAATAAACTTGTGCATTTTAAGGGGCTCATTAAAGAGTGATTATGAGTGACTCATTGCAGCAGTGTATTATTGGGCATGTGTGGTCACAGCAGACTAAGCAGAGGATAGTGGAGCTTATGTGGGCTGGAAAATTTTGCTAGACTTGTGGCTAGCAGAAATTAACCATAGGCTAAGCTCTAGGGGTAAGGGTAGATTAAAAATTATTTCAGTACTTTAAACTGCATTCTTCAAACTTGCTTATACCAACTCTATCAATGCACTGCCATACACTTAAGCTGCATTCATGGTGCCTTGTAAGTGGTAATTTGAGA